TTCTTTGGTCTAGTCTCTGAGGTCCACGAGACACATCGTTCTGATTCATCAGTGTATCTCTTGTGCCTAATACAGTGCCTGGCACCCCCTGGATGTTCCATAAACATGTGTTCAGTGGGTGAATGAATGGAAGGTGTCTAGGAAGCCCCTCTCCTCAAGTCTCATGGCTGCTGAATTTATTGTCACATAAGCCTTATCTTTATGGTGACTGTTTGGAAAAGGATGAATTTTACATGGGAAGCGTACTTTGATTTCTCCTTAGGTTGGAAATGTCCAGATCACTTCACATCCTTAAGGTTTTATGTCTAGAATTGGGGGACCTGACCAAGAATCTAGGTGTAGCAATACCACAGGAGAAATGGGTGGTGGGTCAGGTCTTTGCCCATTAATTGCACCAAGGTACTTGCGAATCTTCTCCCATAAAAAAATGTGGCCTCTTGGCAGGCCAAAGAGTACACTGCTGTATAGAAATACTCCCTGGTCTCAGCTTTGCCAAGTTGAAAAATAGGAAGTTGTGTGGGTGAGTATGGGGGAGACTGCTAGCTATCCACCAAAATCTGTTTTTCTTTCTTCCCAGGCACACAATTAAATTATATATCCCAGCACCCCAGCAGTTAGGTGTGGTCACACGACTGAGTTCTCTCCAGAGGTTTGTGGGCAGAAGTGCTGGGTACTATTTTCAGGCCCAGCCCACTGAAAACCTCCCACATGCACTGCCCATGATCTTTTCCCTCTGGTTGGTGGGGCTGTCAATGCCTAGGGCAACCCTAGAAACCGTGGTTGAAAATGGAAAACCACCATCAGCCTGGATCTCTGAAGACTGTATGGAGAAAACCCTCCCTTCAGCCCTGAACTGATCAGGTGATCCTGGTGAGCACTTCATATGAAGCCACTGCAATTTCAGGGACTGTCTGTAACTGCAGGCTAGTCAATCGTAACAGCATCATGACCTCTTTTTTAGGAAGCTGACATTCATGAGAGGGGTGAAACCAGCAGACACCGAGTTGCTGACAAGGCCGGCTAAAGGAGACGAGCTTGAGGAGGGAGGGGAGTGAATTGTTAGAACTGACTCAGGCAGGAACCTCTTCTCTCTCATGCACTGCACAAAAAGGGTTTTGGAAAGAAATCAGGTAATAACTCATTCTTTTAACACTCTGTGAGACAAGAGAGATCAAGGAAAAGATGACATCTGTGAGTGTCTCACCGTGTTCTACTACAATCCCTGGATGCTGTGCCACTCCCAATTAGCCCTGTGTCCTTTCTGGCCATGACCCCTCTTGAAACCATGGCAAAAGCTTTTAAGCCAACAATAGGGAGATAAAATTTGTGAGGTGAGCACTCAGGGCCTAGAAGGGGAAGAAAGGACAAGTAAACTTTGAATGATATTCTGATAAGTTTGGTATCTTCTGAATGGTTATATCTGCCGGGAGAGTGGTGACTGTGTCTTATTGATCCTTGTATCTATCCCAGTCCAGGGCTTGGTAGATCTTATGTGCTTAATGAATGTTTGAAAAATGAATTAATACATTATCTCATTTGAATGTCACAAAAACCTTGTGAGGAGATAAGACTTTATTGCAAACATTGCTGTTTGCCTAACGGGGTCTGAACAATTCCTGTTTCATTTTCCTCTTTCTAGTACATGGGAGACTACACTTTCAGTTGGGAAGGGCCACTCACTGGTTCTGTCCAAAGAAGTGTGAGGGAAAGTGACCTCTCCAGCTTCTCCCTCTGCTTCGGGAGTAAACCTGAGGCCTTGTGCTGATGAAGTGGAGCCTCTGTCAGTCTGATCCTGAGTCACTCTGTGGAAAAAGAAAGAGCCCTTCATTGACTTGTGCTGGGCATGTAGTGTGAGCAAGAGATAAGTTTCTATTGGGTTAAGCCATCATGCATGTTACACTCTAGCATGGCCTAGCCTGTGCAAACTAACACACTTACCCAATGGCAACTTTCCCATCTTCATTTTACATGCACAGAACTTCAAATTTTATCAGTTCTTCTCTGGATGGCCATCTGCTCCACAGGAGGCCAGGCCTCTCCCAGTCTCAGGGGTGAAATGTGGTTGGTCTCAGACGATCATGGTGACCTTGATCCACTTAGCCAGTGATGATTTTAGGGGTAGATGTGTAAGCTGGGTCTGGCCAAGATGACATCTGGGGAACTCTGTTGGGGAAACTTTTGGGGAAATTTTTTCTTACACATAGACCAGGAGACAAGAATACTTCCTTTTTGTGCCCAAGGGCATTATTTTGGGAGGACATGAGGCTTGGAGCTGCTACAACTGTCCTGTGGCTGTAAGGGGAGATGCCAACACATAGAAGGTGGCAGACTGGGAAAAGACATAATTCTCTTTAGATTTTTTTTTAAGTTGAGAATTCTATTTTTTTTTTTTTTTTTTTTTTGAGACGGAGTTTCGCTCTTGTTGCCCAGGCTGGAGTGCAATGGCGCGATCTTGGCTCACCGCAACCTCCGCCTCCTGGGTTCAGGCAATTCTCCTGCCTCAGCCTCCTGAGTAGCTGGGACTACAGGCACGCGCCACCATGCCCAGCTGATTTTTTGTATTTTTAGTAGAGACGGGGTTTCACCATGTTGACCAGGATGGTCTCGATCTCTTGACCTCGTGATCCACCCGCCTCGGCCTCCCAAAGTGCTGGGATTACAGGCGTGAGCCACCGCGCCCGGCCTTAAGTTGAGAATTCTGTTTCTTGTACCTCAGAGCAACCAAGCAGTTATCTCCAATTTATCAAGGAGAAAAATGAAGTTCAGAGAGTATAAATGACCTGCCCAAAGCCTCTTGGCTTGTAAGTAGGAATCAGGTCTTCTAACTTGGAGTTTTCCTCTCTTTGCGTTATTTCAGGGACAGCAATAGTTTTTTCTCATCTCCAAACAACAGACTGGATGTACCTGCCTGGAGAGTTGTGTTGGGAAGGGTTTTAAGACCACATCCAAAAAGAAAGAGGGTTTGGGTTGATTAGTGAGTTTATGGGCATAAGGTAGGACTGTGCTTTTCCTCATGACTGTAGTATCCCACGGTATTTCTGGATTATCTTGACTGTGGGAGGGATGGTGTAATAGTTATCTACTACTGAGTAACAAATTTAGCAGCTTTAAAAAAAAAAACAACAGGCATTTACCATCTCACAGTCTCTGTGGGATGTGGAAATACAGACGTGGATTAGCTGAGAGCTTCTGTCTCAACGTTGGCTATGTGGTGGTGATCAATATGGAGCTAGAACTGCGTCCTTGTCTGTATCCTCAGCTAGGGGAAGTATGTACTTCCATGCCCACTGTGCGGTTATTGGTGGGATTGTGTTTCTCACGGGCTCTGGGACAAAGGGCCTTGGTTTTTCATTGGCTGTTCCTTAGGTTCTTGCCACCTGGAGCTCATCACGGGACAGCTTGCCCTGTGGCAGCTGCTTTCCTTAGTGTGAGCCAGCAGGTGAGAGAGGGCTTCCAGGAGAGAAGCCATAGCCTTTCTGCAGCCCAACCTCAGAAGGGCCATCCCATCGCTTGTACAGTGTTGCGACAGATGGAAAACACATGTGGTGACTTCTTCTGTTACCATTTCTGTCATTGTCATGGTTGGCTATTTTGCCTCAAAAATTGTGATTTCTCTTCTCGAAGCTCATTCTCTTTCTGTGCATTTGAGCAATAGTACGAGGGCATGCCTCATGTCCTCTTTCCATGTCAAGGGCTTAAGCTTATTATAATTAGGAATTTTCGTTCATAATAACAGATAATCTTACAAAAGAGTACCCCAGGCAGTGACTGCCGGTGGCATTGGTGTGCTCCCTCTCACTCCTGTCCAATCCCGGTCCTATCACACATGTGCCTGTTTTGAAATCGAACGTGACCAAGGCTCCCTTCGCTGACTCTCTGGCCTCCTTCCCATGCAGGACATGGCTGGAGGCTGAACTTAAATCCTTTCTGCCTCTGGGAATTTGCCTGTTGAGGGAGGGCACAAGAAAGGAAAGGAGAAAGAAAGCTACCTGTGAGGGCAAGTTCCATCCTTTAATGTCCAGTGCTTCCTTAGGCACCAGACACACAGTTTGGGGAGAAAAAGAAACTCTTTCAGAGACTCCAGATAAGAAAAAGATTGAAGTTGAATGGGTTAATGTTAATCAAGGGGGCTGAACAGTTGTGGGACTTTTACTAGCCTATCAGGGTGGATAAGACGAGGGGAAGAAAACTGGACTTTCAATAAAGGGAGGCAGATTAAATTAATCATGACAGGAAAATGAGCAAGAAATGCTTTCACATTGTTATTTAATAAGAAAAATGTGTAATTAACTGATAAAAATAGTTTTTGCAAGAAGCAGGCAGTTAAATAGTTTATAAAGCCAGCCAGGCCCAATCCTCAGCATCCCTGACTGTTAGCAATCAGAATGCTTTTTATATGGTGTCTTTCTTTGGAAACGCAAAACCATCTCACCACAGACATTACCTCATTTGCTTCACAGCCTAATGAATGCTTTATGGCTGAGAAATGGTGGAGGAGGCGACTGAGACGGAAGAGATGAAGAAACTGAGGCACACGGAGACACGGACGTGGCGTTCCCAGCAGTGCTCAGGTTTTCTCCTTCCTAACCTCCTGCCCTCTTGTTGTGTTTTAGGCATTGGCTAATGAATTTAAATGAAACAATTGCTGGTGTCTGCCAAAAGCTGCATAGAGGAACCTGGGCTGTGTATTATGGCTGATATGATACTAGTCTTCCGAATGGAAGGTGGGGGTGGGAAGAGATCCTGGCATTTGCCATCTGGTAAGCCTGTCTTTAATCCTCAGTAAAGTAATGGAATGGAGATGAGGAAAAAAATGTGTAAGAATCAAGAGCATAATGCCACCATGAGCAAGCAGCTGTCTGGATTTTTAAAGAGCAAATTCCATGAGACAAATTTAATTGCATTTTTTAATAGAATTAAAAAAAAAAGTCCACAACATTAGTGGGTGAAGGAAATGAAATGGATGCATCCAGAAATCTCACTTGAAAGATGAATTCAGCGGGGCTGGTTCTGAGCTGTCTCCTGTATTGAAACCCGGCTGGAAGGCCACGTGAGCAGCAGTGGGCGGCCGTGGAGTGACTGGGAGATGGTGGCCAGTGGCGTGCTTCTGGCAGGCTCTGAGATGGGCCGGCGCCTACAGAGCATCATTATTAATGACTTGCAGGAGGTGATGAGCAGAACATTAATTAAACGTGCACATGTGGCCAAGTGGGAAATTGGCGGCGAAAACACCAGAGAGGCAGGCACGTAATACCCAGGTACTTGTTTTTCAGCCTTTGTGATCTGGCCTGTGAGGCTTGACTTTGCCTCCCCTGCTCTTTCCCTGCTGTCTTGGGCTTGAACTAGATTTTTGCATGGTGCCACAGGGGAAGTGGCAGAGGAGCTGCCCTTTATAGCAGGCTCACAAATCCCCTTGCCAAACACTAGGATGCGTACAAGTTGCACCTCTAGCCTGATGTGCTGAGAAAGGAAGCCTGCAAAAATTAATATTGATATTAGTAGAGTAACGAAGCAGCTGCAGAGCTGGTTTGCAAACGTCTCACCCTGTTTTGTGGCATGTTTACTTCTGCAAAAGGGAGAAGCAGCAAGAGATGTAGGGATGCGGAGGCATCTCCTCTGAATCGTCTTTAGGGGAGTCTGTCGGTCTAGCTCATCTTTGTCAGAGAAACCTGGATGATTTGACTTCTGAATACATCCAGGCATTTGGAAATTAGGTGGCTGGCCCCAAATCCTAAAAAATGCCATACTATTGAAGTGAAGGCTGAGCATTACATAGTTTTCACATTCAATCAACATTTAGTTCTCTACTTAAGAGAACATCTCTAATAACTCCATTAGTTTGGCTGGTCGCTTTGTCACGACTGGGTCTTGGCACTGTTCTTATTGGAACTTATATTTATTTGAAAATTACTCTGCTGCCAAAGTAAAAAGAATAGCTCCAGGAGAATGCAAGCTCCTTGCTCTGCAATATCAAGTGCTGTGTGTTCCGAGATGGTAGATTATCTTCTGTATTTTATTTAATTTGAGAGCCTTTTGCCAAACCCTGTATCAACAAGGAGAAGTCTGTAATGGGGAAGGTGACACCGGCCAAACCTATGGCATTTGGAAATTGTACTGTGGCCAAGCAAGTGCTTAGGAAGTAGGATAAAAATGCCACCCCCACCATGACACCAACAACAACAACAACAAGAATGTGATTCCCAGCTTTCACTGGTTGCTTCAGGCATTATCTCAACTGTTTGTATAACAATGCTATGGAGGTAAGTATTGTTATTGTTCCTGTTTAACAAATCAAAAAATTTATCAGAATTGAGACAAGAGCTTCCAGAGGGCAGTGTAAATGTCAGAGAGTGAAGCCTGAGTCTCAAGCCTATTGCTCCAGCATTGTGCCCATCACTCAACCTTGAACCATGGTTACTTGGATGGGAGATTTCATGCCTAGGATAATGGTTCTAGAGTCTGGGGCCTGACAGTGAAATGCTACTCTTTAGTTGTTTGTTTAGTATTTTTTTAGAGAAGTTGAGGTTGGCTTGAGGGATGTGCAGTGATGAAGGAATGGTGGTAGCATTCTGCCTGCTTTCTATGCTTACAAACAATTCATCTCTGGTCCCAGACTTGCATATCTATCCAGGAAGGCAAAAGTTCTGAGTTGTCTGGATCTACTCTCCTGAGAATGTATGTCGGTGACCCTCTGCTGTTACTTAAGCATGGTCCCTTTGAGTCTCACTTCCCACCTCTGGGAGTCTATCAAGGCATTTGTTCCAATGATACATTGCATGCAGCCTTAGAGGACTTCTGATGTATTCAATTTTCTCCATATTATTTCACTTCCAGTAATTTTATTTTAGGTTTAAGTGTTAATTTATCACTCTTTATAGATTGATGCCCCAAGTCACTGCCTTGCTGGCCCTGGCAGACCCACATCCACTAAGTCTTTGACTGGGATGGCAGGAAGTAGGTATTATAAGATTGCACTGTGTGAACAAACAACTTCAGGTCAGGACAAAAAATCTCTCAATGATGGCAAAGCCACTTTTGGCCTTAAAGCTGATATTGGATATTTTAGACACCATGCCATGGGAAGGCAATCAGAGATTTTTGTCCCCAGTTCCCAATTACAGATTGTATTTTGCAATAATGTCCTCATCCCACACATCTTCTAAAGTGTGACTTTATACTTTGCTATTTGAGAAGAACCTAATATCCTCCTTTGAATCTGGGTTGACCTTATGACTTGCTTAGACTCAATAGAATGAAGGGGAAGTGACATCATGTGACCTCCGAGATTAGGTTAGAGAAGGCAGTAAAGCTCCCCATAGAGTCTCTCGAGACACTTTTTCTAGGAGAAGTCAACATCATACAACTAATCCAGCTGCCCTGAGACCAACATGCAAGAGAGGCCAGGCGTAGTTGTTCTCATCAGCAACCACAATGGAGCCGAGCCTTCTAGCTATCCTTAAGGTACCAGACATGTGAGTGAAGCCATCTTGAAACTACATACCCTTATGCCAACTAAGTGCCACCCAATAACCTCAGTTGACTTCACTAGGAGCAGATGAATCATCCAACTGAGCCTTGCTTGATTCCTGACCTGACAATTCATGAAACACAATAAAATGGTCATTAAGTCAGTAAGTTCTAGGGTCATTTGTTACATAGGATGGAGACTAGAGCATCTCTTACCACTTGTATTTAATTCCATTCAAATCCTCTACATCATATAAAACAAAAGAAAAAGACATTTGATCCTGTATTGGGAAATAAGCTGACTTTGGCTTGCATCACCATTGCCCCCTTATTAATATGTCCCTTAATAAAAAATTGTGTTCATTTCATCTATGATTTCCTATCTTGCTTTCTAGTCAGTAGAAATGGCTTGGTGTGGAACCAGTATTTTTACATGATCTGTGAAAACACTCATGAAAATTCTTTATGCCCCATAGTATAGTCTATACAAATTAATCAGATTTTTTGAATGGCATAGATAAAAATACCAGGCTCAGAGCCATAAAGATTCAATTGCTAGAAAAACAGTTGGATTAGAGAATTATTTTCTGAGTTCAGGACTGTTTGGAGTTTCACCAAATTTGGAAGACCACTGAAGGACACCAGGCTTTGCAAATAAGGTTGCCAACTATGAGGGAGCCCATATGGAAACGACTCCCTCAGAATGTGGGGCCTTTTAGTAGAACTATTTTTGTGAGTGGATTAGCATTCATTTTTCTAATGGGGAAATCTGTGGGGGATGATAGATCTTTTCTGACTGAGAAGAAGGCCTTTTTACCTTCTCACTCTGTGCCAAAGCTGCCTTCTCCGAAACTGGGATTAACATTGCCTAAGAAGGGCTCTTAGACAGAGTCCCAGTAGCTCTTAAACAGCAGTCTCTTCCTTTCCTGTTCTTTGGGTCCCATGGCTTAGTCATTGTTTTTCCATTCTCTCTCCCTTTCTCCCCCCACCGCACCTTTCCTTTTGCATCCATCCCCTTCTCCTGTGCATCCCCCTAAATTTTCTTTTTCCTGTCAACTCCCCTTCCATCTCTTGAGTAGGGTAGACACCGGACAGGGGGCTCATGTGTGCAAGGCAATTGTCCTGGGGTGCTGTGCTAGAAGCTTTATACATGTGATTAGGTTTTAGCTCCTGACGAGCCTTTGAGCTAAGTGGTATTATTCCTGTTTTTTCAGATGAGGAAACTGAGTCCCAGAGGAGTGGAGTACCTTGCTGAAGTTCACCCAGCACCTCCTGGAGCTGAGTATGTTTCTAGAACTGTCTATTTAAAAAACCACTCTCTTTTCATTGGAGGTTTGGAGGAGAACTTCATTTATGGCACATAGTTATATTTAAATGAACAGTTTAGTAAACTATAGAGTGTTCTTTCACACTAAGGGTTTGATCATTTCACTAAATCCTTTGTTGTCTTTATAAAGTCTAGAGTTAAACAAACAACACAGAGCACAATATCCAGGTTTTGTCAAATTTCTGGTGGATATAATGGGCAAATCTACAAGCTTTCTTTAACAAGGTTTATTTCCATCTGAGAGAGCTGGAGAGCTGTGTATTACACTAATGATACAGGAGCTTAAGGAAACAAGTATCTATCACAAGCTTAAAAATGTGTAGTATAGGCTGAGTGTGGTGGCTCACGCCTATAATCCCAGCACTTTGGGAGGTCCAGGCAGGTGGATCACAAGGCCAGGAGTTCAAGACCAGCCTGGACAGCATGGTGAAACCCCATCTTTACTAAAAATACAAAAATTAGCCAGGCATGGTGACAGACGCCTGTAATCCCAGCTACTTGGGAGGCTGAAGCAGGATAATTGCTTGAACCTGGGGGACAGAGGTTGCAGTGAGCAGAGATCATGCCACTGCACTCCAGCCTGGGCGACAGAGTGAGACTCCATCTCAAATATATATATATATATGTAGTATCAAAATGGCAGTACCCAGGGTATAATAAGTGTCCAGTAAATACATGTATATATTACACACACACGTATACACACACACACACACATATATATATATATATAGAGAGAGAGAGAGGGAGTGTGTGTCTCACTCTGTCACCCACAATGGAGTACAGGGGTGCGATCTTGGCTCACTGCAGCCTCAACCTCCCAGGTTCAAGCAATTCTCCCACTTCAGCCTCCCAAGTAGCAGATACTACAGGCACATTCTACCACGCTCGGCTAATTTTTGTATTTCTAGTAGAGATGAAGTTTTGCCATGTTGACCAGGCTGGTCTTGAACTCCTGGCCTCAAGCGATCCACCCACCTCAGCCTCCCAAAGTGCTGGGATTACAGGCGTGAGCCACCATGCCTGACCCAATAAGTATTTATTAAATAAATAAATGATTATTATTACAATTTTTACTTTTTTGTTTTTGGGTGGGGCATAGCTGATGTTTTAGTTTCTGCTGAATTTTGTGACTATACACACCCCACTGTGAGTGTGTAGTGGGGTGGGGTGGAAGCATGGAGGGCAGCAGTGGCTGTGGCTGCCTGGAGAATTGTAAAAGGCCAGACCTCCACGTGATCAAACCGTGGTATCATTCTGGACCTCGATTCTCTTATTTGAAAAGTAACAGTTGGAGTGAGATGATCTGGGTCCCTCCGGTTCTGTATGTGACCATCGAAAGTCGTACATGGAGACAGATATATTATTCAATGTGGAATCTGGGAAACTGGTAGCAAGAATGCCGAGTACAATCATACAGTAGGATTTTTAATCCAAACATTATTTATCCAGCACTAATCAAAAATGCAATGAAAGGATTAAAAAAATAAAGAGCAAACTGAGAAACTGCCAGACTATAAAACAAGCGCTTTTCCTTTCTAGCTCTTAACAGACTCATTCTACCAGCTGGGGGATTTACAGGTGTTAAAATTGCCCCTGAAAGGAGACTTTTTATTTCCTGGGGTGATGGAAATATATTGATAATTACAGGGGGAAATGAGGTTTTTAAATAAAACAATTAAAAGGGCTTAGTGTTTAAATGAAGGAGAGTGTAATTTTCCTTTATTTTATCTATCGTTAAATTGATGTTACAAGCTATTATAAGAGTTTAGTGAAGACTGATTTTCAAATATAATCCATACTTATGTGGATAGTCAGAGAGGAGGTGGGAAAAGCTCAGTTTGCACGTGTGTGTGCGGGCACACCCACACCCACACACACACACACCCCTCAGGGGTTTGCTAATTTAAAAATTATTAATACTTAAATGGTGACCAAGGAGTGGCAGAATATGGAGTTAGGGGCATATGGGGAACTAAAGGAGCAATCTCTTTTTCCTGTGAAGAGCCTATTCTTGATTTAGTGAGAGTGCTGTACAATATTTCTTCTTCTTTTTTTTTTTTTATTTGTAAGTGCATGACTTAATTTGCAAGCACCAATATGTGACATCTGAACAGATTTGAGACAATTGTCAGAATTGTCAGAGGCATCCTGGCCGGTCACATGCCTCTTGATGCACCATTCTCTTCCCAGCTCTGTGCCCAGGGGCATCACATTTCAGACTGAAATCGTTCAGGGTGGTAGAACTGACATCATGGAAATCAGCAAATGATACAAATCAGGGGTCTGGTTGTGATTTAACTATAATTGTTAATATATATTTATCAACATATCACTGATCACAGTGAAATAAAACTCACAATAAAATTAATGGGACATATTACATTTGTTATTGTTTGCGATGATAATTAAACCTAAATGATTCATATCCACTTGTATGCAGAACCAGCTTCAGCTGCCCTTTACTGAGCCGCTCCTATGTGTCAGACCCTGTGCCTATTATAGATTGTCTCTGGTCCTTGTAAGTGTCCTATGAGACCAGTGTTATTGTCTACATTTGATAGGTAAAGAAACGGAGACTCAAACAGAGTCAAAAAATTGCCCTTTGTCCACACAGTTAGCTATTTGTTCAATCAGAACTAGAACCCAACACTCCCCACCTGCATTCCCCAACACTCCCCACCTGAGTGAACACAGTGTTGCTGAGATCAGCTCATGAGGTTGCAGGAAGGGGATGACGCTGAGCCAAATTAAAAATCATCAACACCTGTTGCAAGACTCAAGGCTCTCAAAGTTCGGAGGCTGAGCTTCACCTCATTTCTGCAGCAGGCTCTGCCTGTGAAGAGTGTCAGATAAGATGCCAGCATCCTAGAAGGCCTAGATTCGTAGCTGCATTAGTGGTGAGTGCTTGTGAGTTTCCACAGCGTTGAGAAATAGTTCTGCTGGCTTAGCTCCGGAGAAAGATTTTCTTGCTGCCCTTGCCTTGATGTCTTTTTCAGAGGGGTTTACTTACAGACACCCAGTGACTGGTGTTTCTTCTCCTTGAACTCTCTCTCCCTTCCTCTTACTTTCCTTATTTGGCCATCTGTGCAGCCCATGTCTTAATCTACCTGCTCAGTCCCTGCTTGCCCTCCCATTCTCTTACCTAACTCCATCTTTGTACCCAGCGGCACCTCAGCAGAACACTCCCTCTTCCCATATTCTCAACAGTCCCAGGGTTTTCCAGGGTAACAGGACAGAGAACATTTTCTTATTCTAATAATTGACAACAGAGTTTCTTTAAGGGAGAGGAGTCTTTGGTTTCAAGAGATGCCTCATGGGGAGAGGAGCCTGGACTGGCCCTCAGGGCACAGGCAGCTGCTAGGCGTGCTAAGTGGGTGAATAGAATCTGGAAGCGAAGAGAGAAAGTGGAGGGAGAGAGCAGAAACCTGCCTGGGATGGTTCAGTAAAGTTTACAAAACTGAGCAAGAGTTAAGTGAAGGATTTTTACATTTGATCGCAGAAAATTTAGAAAGTGCCAGATTCCACACTGGGATTGCTATGTGTGGGACAGAGGTAGCTGGCTCAGAAATTGGAGGTAAAAACCTTGAGAAGAGAACCCTTGGAATTAGCAGCAATCTGGAGGAGAGCTTTGGGTTTCCAAAGGCCACAGAATGGGTGGGAGGTGGGTTCTGGTCAATTTTCTTCATACCTACAAAGAGCTGGGAGCCCCTGGCTGGCATCTGTGTTACCACCAACTGCTACAGCTTCTCCAAACTAACCCAGCCTGCTGTGGTCTTGACTGGCTCAAACCTTGCCTCGCGCCCTCTCCCCACATGTCTCCTTGGGCCGTGTGTAGGCGTAGAAGAACCAGCTGATAGAATGGGGATGCTGGTTTGGAAAGATGGCGCACCAGACAGTGGAAGAGAGACAGGGCCTAAGAAAAGGGGGAATCAGTAAAGAAAACAGAAGCCCCATTTCATAGCCCTCCCTCTGCCATATGAAAGAAAGCAAAACAAATACATATCCCAAGCCACAACTGACCTCCCCACAAAAAAGGATAGAAAACCCACTTTCCAGTGTTAAGCTAAAGGGAGAACAGGCAACGACAGCAAAGTGTGGGTGACCTCGTTGCACATGGCACAAACAGTGAGCTAAGATGGAGTGTTAGACCAAGACAGCAGAAGGTGGACACAGGGATATTTCATGCCTTTTTCAGTGTTCACGGGTGTACACTAGTGAGAACTCGTGTCTTAAATTCTGTCCCTGAGTGTGAAGTTGAAACAGCAGGCCCTTTAAAAAGGGCCTTTAAGAGTGCTGTGGAGAGTTGATAAAGGTGTGAGAATCCTGCTGTGGCTGACATCACAAAGAGAGAACTTGAGATCCCCTTTCAAGTCATGGCTGAGAATTTTGAACTGGAATAGCTGGTTTTAAACACTGACATGAATGTTTGGGATGTGAGTAAAACACGTCAAATTCTTCAACCAGCCAATTGTGAATAGAGGAATAATCCCATTTTTTAACGACTTGCCTTAGTCACTGAAGGTGATTTCCTAAACCCCAGAAAACTGTTACAAACTGTCAGACTGTGAGTGCCAGAGTCCTTGGTCAGTAAAATAGCCCCACATGGTAAGAGAGCATTCCAATCTCTCCAAAATGGGAATAAAGGCATTCAGCAAAATTACTCAGACTTTAAAAACACAATACCATTTCTCACTTTGTGTTAATGTGGTAACAAATTCTAACAGAGGCAATTCTCAAATATGCAATTGTATAAACTTGCCTCCTGAATGGAAAGATTGGAATTTAGGCAGCTGACCCCTGGGGTAGTGTTTCTGATCAAATCCAAGAGAGGGCTGTTTGCCTGTCATGTCCCAGTCAGTACCACCCTGCCCAGCATCTATGTTTGCTCAGGGCATACATATACAGCAAGATCTGAATCAATGAAAACATATCCCATGTCTTTACAGAGTGAC